GGAAGCAAGGAAGGATGCATGGAAGGAAGAAAAAGAAAGAAACTGAAAGTGAAAGAAGGAGAGGGAGGGATGAGAAGACTGGATTCATGTATAGTACAAAGTAATTGGAAAGGGATGACTGATACTGGAAGGGAAGTAAGAAAGGAAGTTAAAAAGTAAGGAAGGACAGATGAACGGAAGGAGGGAAGGGATGAGAAGAAAGGGAAGATGGATAAAGGAAGGAAGGAGTATAAGGGGAGGGAAGAAAGGAAGGAAGAAATAAATATGAAGGGAGGATGGGAGGAAGGAAGGGAGGAAGAAATAGGAAGGAAGGAAGGAAGGAAGGAAGGAAGGGAGGAAAGAAATATGAAGGGAGGAAGGAAGGAAGGAAGGAAGGAAGGAAGGGAGGAATGAAGGGAGGAAGAAATAGGGAGACAGGAAGGAAGGAAGGAAGGAAGGAAGGAAGGAAGAAAGAAATAGGAAGGGAGGATAGGAGGAAGGAAGGAAGGAAGGAAGGAAGAAATATGAAGGGAAGAAGGAAAGAAGGGAAGGAAGGAAGGAAGGAAGGAAGGAAAGGAAAGAAGGAAGGAAGGAAAGGAAAGAAGGGATGTGAAGACTAGATTCACATAAGTTGTATAATTGGAAGGAAATAGAAAGGGAAGATGGATAAGGGAAGAAAGGAAGGAAGACATAGAGTAAAAGGGGAGGGAAGGAGGAGGAAAATTAAGGGAAAGGAATTCGGGAAGGGATGAGAAGAGTGGATTCACATATAACTGGAAGGAAATTGAAAGAGAAGATAGATAAAAGAAGGGAGGCAGGAAAAATATAAGGGGTGGAAGGGGGGAACAAAGAAAACAAGGAAGAAAGGATGGAAGGAAGAATGAACATATGAGGGGAAGGGAGGGAATAAAGGAAGGATGGAAGGAAAAAAGTAAAGTAATGGAGGGAGGGGAGGGATGGGAAGATTGGATTCATATATAATAGGAAGGAAATGGAAAGGGAAGATGGATAAGGAAAGGGCCAGAAGCAAGGAAGACATATAATGGGCAGGAAGGAAGGAAAGAAAGCATGGCAGAGAGTAGGAAAGGGTATTCTTTTAGAGGTTTTAAGCAATAAAAGAAATAAGTGTGATATATGTGAAATCATAAAGATGCATGTAGACGTAAAACAAATCTTGGCTGTCATTCATTAAAGTGAACCTATGCTTTACTGGTTCTTGCAGGAGCGTATTGTGATCTTTCCTTCCCCTTCTCTTTCCTGCTATTCTGCTTAGCTACTGAAAGTGAAGAGAAATTTCTGGTACTTCCGGTATGGGGATCATGTGACTCTCCCCTTGGCAATGGAATACTCAGCCCCAGCGCTGTCACATGGAGGAGGGAAGTGTCCTTAGTTCAGTGTAAGTTGTAACCAGAGTGACTTGGGTCTGAGGATTCCTCTTCTTGCTCCCAGGAGAGAACAGAGAGGTAGGGGAGGCTAAGAAAGACAAGTATATTCTACTGGAGGAGCAAACACTAAAGAGAACCTGTGGTGTTGTCCTACATAGGCAAAAGCACAGAACCACTTTGTTTTTTTTTGCAAAGCTAAAGTTACATGACATTGAAAGTGCTGGCAAGCTGGAATAGAATCTTCCTACATGTTTATAATTCAATTTGTATCTCCAGCAGAGAAGTCTGTAGCTGCGCCTCATTGCTGATATTATTTTATGCCTCAATTTTCAGGTCCAGTGGAGGATGCCGCCAGAAAAGGTCCCAAATCCGTCGACTCGCTGGCAGTAGAAGAAGGAGCTTGCTGGATGGTCCAGCCATATTATTGTCAGTGACACGGAGCCACAGATGTCCCCCACCAGGCCCTCAGCAGATGGTAATAGGTCTGAGAAGAGGGCTAAACTGCACAGCGGTGACTCGCCTGAAGGAATTTAGTGATCCCAAGTTACTGGAAATGTGTAGTTTGGGCTTGACAAGTCCCCGTCCTTCTGTGCTTTATAGCTTCATTACCATCTTGTTGTGAAGACTTGTTTACTACATCTGTGTGTGCCATTGTACTGGCTGGAGGGACCACAGGAGTTAAAGGGAACCTGCCGTGTTTTGTCAGCAAGTCTTTCAGAGGAAATGGTAATCGGCCAATTCAGACGGGGCAACTGACCTGCAGTCTACTACATAGGTGGCAAAGAGCATGCATACACTGTAGGAAAATAAAAACAGATTAAGAAAGCTGCACCAACATGGACTCTTCACATCAATATCCCTGTGGCTCAATCAGTGTAATACAGCGCCTTGAAAAAGTCTTCCTCCCCCTTGAAATGTTCCCCGTGTTGTGATGTTAGAACCAAAAAACGTAAATGTAATTTATTGGGATTTGATGTGATAGACCAACACAAAGTGGCACACAATTGTGAAGTGCAAGGAAAAAAAATTGGTTTCCAATTTTTTTTTTTACAAATAAATAAGTAAAGTGTGGTGCATTTGAATTCAGCCCCTTTTACTCTGATACCGCTAACTAAAATCTAGTGGAACCAATTGCCTTCAGAAATCACCTAATTAGTAAATGGAGCCCACCTGTGTGTCATGTGATCTCAGTATAAATACAGCTGTTCTGTGAAGCCCTCAGAGGTTTGTTTGAGAACATTAGTGAACAAACAGCATCATGAAGGTCAAGGAACACACCAGACAGGTCAGGGATAAAGTTGTGGATACGTTTTTTTTAGCAGGGTTAGGTTATAAAAATATCCCAAGCTTTGAACATCTTACAGAGCACTGTTCAATCCATCCTCCAAAAATGGAAAGAGTACGTGTCAGGGCTCCGGGTATGACCAGAGGTGTGCGGACTGACACAGGGAAACGCGGGTTTCAGATATGGTATAAATAAGGCGATTTATTAAGACTAACAATACAAACATAAACGCAGTGCACCAAACCCCAAGCTAACACAAATACATACAACAAACCCCAAGCTAACACAAATACATACACCAAACCCCAAGCTAACACAAATACATACAACAAACCCCAAGCTAACACAAATACATACAAACCAGCAAACCCCAAGCTAACACAAATACATACAACAAGGTGAAACAAACCCAAACCTAAACTGATAAAGATACACAGATACATACACATATAGAGCACAACGTAGTCAGGCAGGCCGGGTCAATAACTATGGGGCAGGTAGGTACAGGAGGAGCAGGCGGAGAGAATGGTCGGGGTCACAAGCCAGGTATCAAACAGGAGAAGTCAGCAGAGGTCAGGATCAGGCAGGGTCAGCAACACGTCAGTCAGGCAGGAACAGGAATGCAGGTAACAAGATACAGGGGCCCATGGAAAAACACACACCAAGGCACAGACTGCAGGTCTGGCCATCCCTTAAATACACCTGCAATCAGCTTTCAGGTGTTTGGCTGACTGCAGGGTTGAGTCTCTGATTGCTGAGAGCACCTGCTGGCCAGCCCCATGGTACTGCAGCCCACAAGTCCATTCCTGACAGTACCCCCCTCAAGGAGCGGCCTCCGGACGCTCCAAACAGTCCTAGCTAGTCAAAATGTTCCACCGCCCGGGTCTGGTAACTGGCGGGATATCAAAGACCGGCACATCGGGCTGGACTCCGGGCAGAGGCACATCGGGCAGGACTCCGGGCAGAGGCACATCGGGCAGGACTCCGGGCAGAGGCCACATCGGGCAGGACTCCGGGCAGGGCACATCGGGCAGGACTCCGGGCAGAGGCACATCGGGCTGGACACCGGGCAGAGGCACATCGGGCTTGACACCGGACAGAGGCACATCGGGCTGGACACTGGATCACCAGGCGGATAGCAGCAGGCATCGGGCCACCAGGCGGAGCAGCAGGCACCGGGCCACCAGGCGGGGCGGCAGGCACCGAACCACCAGGCGGGGCGGCAGGCATCGGGCCACCAGGCGGGAGCAGCAGGCACCGGGCCACCAGGCGGGGCGGCAGGCACCGGACCACCAGGCGGGGCGGCAGGCACCGGGCCCCAGCGGGGCGGCAGGCACCGGGCCCCCAGGAGGAGCGGCAGGCACAGGGCCCCAGGAGAGGCGGCAGGCACAGGGCCCCCAGGAGGGGCGGCAGGCACAGGGCCCCCAGGAGGAGCGGCAGGCACAGGGCCCCCAGGCGGGGCGGAAGGCACCGGGCCCCCAGGCGGGGCGGCAGGCACCGGGCCCCCAGGCTGGGCGGCAGGTACCGGGCCCCCAGGAGGAGCGGCAGGCACGGGCCCCCAGGCGGGGCGGCAGGCACCGGGCCCCCAGGCGGGGCGGCAGGCACCGGTCCCTGATCAGGCAGGACAGCGGGCTCTGAGTCAACTGGCACGATAGCGGGCAGCGGATCATCAGGCACGACAGCGGGCATCAGGTCACCAGGCATCAGGTCATTTAGCTTGACAGCGGGCACCGCGTCATCTGGCAAGGCAGTGGGTTCACCGAGTCACCAGGCACGACAGAGGGCTCTCCGAGTCAACTGGCATGACAGCGGGCACTGGGTCAGACATTGGATCGTCTGGCTCGACAGCGGGCATCAGGTCACCAGGCATCAGGTCACTTGGCTCAACAGAGGGGCACCGCGTCATCTGGCAAGGCAGTGGGCACTGAGTCAACAGGCACGACAGTGGGCTCTGAGTCAATTGGCACGACAGCGGGCACCAGGTCATCAGGTATCGGATCGTCTGGCTCGACAGCAGGCACAGGGTCATCTGGCGCTGGATCGTCTGGCTCGACAGCGGGCATCGGGTCACCAGGCATGACAGCGGGCACTGAGTCATCAGGCATTGGATCGTCTGGCTCGACAGCGGGCATCGGGTCACCAGGCATGACAGCGGGCACTGGGTCATCAGGCATTGGATTGTCTGGCTCGACAGTGGACACCGAGTCACCAGGCACGACAGTGGGCTCCGAGTCAACTGGCATGACCACGGGCACTGGGTCAGACATTGGATCGTCTGGCTCGACAGCGGGCATCGGGTCACCAGGCATCAGGTCACTTGGCTCGACAGCAGGCACCGTGTCATCTGGCAAGGCAGTGGACACCGAGTCACCAGCACGACAGTGGGCTCTGAGTCAATTGGCACGGCCCAGCGGGCACCAGGTCATCAGGTACCGGATCGTCTGGCTCGACAGCAGGCACCGGGTCATCTGGCGCTGGATCGTCTGGCTCGACAGCGGGCACCGGGTCACCAGGCATGACAGCGGGCACTGGGTCATCAGGCATTTGGATCGTCTGGCTCGACAGTGGGCATCGGGTCACCAGGCATGACAGCGGGCACCAGGTCATCAGGTACCGGATGTCTGGATCGACAGCGGGCACCGGGTCATCAGGCATTGGATCGTCTGGCTCGACAGCAGGCATCGGGTCACCAGGTATGACAGCGGGCACCGGGTCATCAGGTACCGGATCGTCTGGCTCGACAGCGGGCATCGGGTCACCAGGCATGACAGCGGGCACTGGGTCATCAGGCATTGGATTGTCTGGCTGGATCAGTTCATCAGGCTGGGTACAGACATCAGACTGGGTAGAGACATCAGGCTGAAGTGTGGGTGCCGAGGCATCAGGCTGAACACGGAAGGCAGGTTCTCAGACGGCAGGCTCACCGGTTTGGATACTGGCAGGATGGTATTGGTTGGAAAGAATTTTCGCTTTTTTCTGGTTTTAACTACTGGGGCACTGCAAGTAAGCACAGGTCTGCAAACGAATGGAGCAGCAGCTGAGGACAGAGAAGAGCTGGAGGATGGGACAGAGGAGGGAGCAGTTGCTACAGAGGACTTTTTTACAGGGTTAAAGAAAGGATAGGTGCAGCGAGTGGGAGCAGAGGACTGATATGTGGTAGTTGGCAGAGTATACTGGGCCGTCACTGGGGGTGCTGTCGGGGATGCAGGAAAGAGTGCCTTGAGCGGAGGAATGACGTTGTAAGCTGACTGAGGCTGGGTGCAACAACTCTGACCCGGCCCATGTCTGCAGTAGGGGGTTTGAACAAAGCTGAGCTTACACAAAGCCTGTCTGGTTCAAAGACTGCACTGCGTTTATACAATCTCTTAGTACCTGTTTGTGAACATGCAGCATAATGCTCCAAGAAGCAATCAACATCATCCTCTAATAACCATACCTGGGGACTCTACCTGGTCGGCACTAAATGGCGGCAAAAAGTCATTCCTGCTTTCAGGTGTACCAGATGAAGCCAACTCTACACAAACCTGAATCAAAGGTTGCACCTCAGAGAACTCTGTGCCCTGATCTACTAGAACAGTGGTGGGCACCTTTTTTTTTCAACTGAGCCAAATCTCGCCAAAAAACCACGATTGAAATTTATTTTGAGAACCACATTTTTAAAACTGAAAATACATAGGATGGTACACTGTTTTTAGTTTCAATAAGTTTTTATAGTAATTCATCCCCCATATAGTAATTCATTCATCCCACCATATATAGTAAATCATCCCCATATAGTAATATCACATCCCCCATATATAGTAATTATCCCCCATATAGTAAATTCATCCCCCATATAGTAATTCATCCCCCCCATAGTATATCCCCCATAGTAATTCATCCCCCCATATAGTAAAATTCACCCATTTAGGTAATTCATTCCCCCCATATAGTAATTCATCCCCCATATAGTAATTCATCCCCCATATAGTAAATTCATCCCCCATAGTAATTCATCCCCCCTATAGTAATTCATCATTAACCCCATATAGTTAATTCATCCCCCCATATAGTAATTCATCCCCATATAGTAATTCATCCCCCACTATAGTAATTCATCCCCATATAGTAATTCATCCCCCCTATAGTAATTCATCCCCATATAGTAATTCATCCCCCATATTAGTAATTCATCCCCATATAGTAATTCATCCCCCCATATAGTAATTCATCCCCCATATAGTAATTCATCCCCATATAGTAATTCATCCCCCCTATAGTAATTCATCCCCATAAGTAATTCATCCCCCTATAGTAATTCATCCCCCATATAGCTTCATATTTTATTTTCCCCTATAGTAAATCATCCCCCATAGTAATTCATCCCCCCTATAGTAATTCATCCCCCATTTAATTCATCCCCCCTATAGTAATTACATCCCCCATAGTAATTCATCCCCCTATTAGTAATTCATCCCCCCTATAGTAATTCATACACCCCCATAGTAATTTCATCCCCCTATAGTAATCTTCCCCCTATTAATTCATCCCCATATAGTAATTCATCCCCCCTATAGTAATTCATCCCCCATAGTAATTCATCCCCCCTATAGTAATTCATCCCCCTATAGTAATTCATCCCATATTAATTCCATCCCCCCTATATAGTAATCATCCCCCCTATAGTAATTCATCCCCCATATAGTAATTCATCCAACCCCCTATATAGTAATTCATCCCCATATAGTAATTCACCCCCCCTATAGTAATTCATCCCCCATAGTAATTCATCCCCCCTATAGTAATTCATCCCCCATATAGTAATTCATCCCCCTAGTAATTCATCCCCCCTTAGTAATTCATCCCCCTATAGTAATTCATCCCCCTATAGTAATTCATCCCCCATAGTAATTCATCCCCCACTATAGTAATTCATCCCCCATATAGTAATTCATCCCCCCTATAGTAATTCATCCCCCCTTAGTAATTCATCCCCCATAGTAATTCTTCCCACCTATAGTAATTCATCCCCCATATAGTTAATTTCCCCATAGTAATTCATCCCCCTATAGTAATTCATCCCCCCTATAGTAATTCATCCCCCCTATAGTAATTCATCCCCATATAGTAATTCATCCCCCATAGTAATTCATCCTCCCTATAGTAATTCATCCCCCATAGTAATTCATCCCCCCTATAGTAATTCATCCCCCTATAGTAATTCATCCCCCCATAGTAATACATCCCCCATATAGTAATTCATCCCCCATATTAATTCATCCCTCATATAGTAGTAGTAAGTAAGTAGCAAGTAGTAAGCCAAGTCCCCCCGTGTCAATTCACTTACCTTTGCTCCGAGTGTTCCTCTCGCCGTGTTCCCGCGCCGTTCCGGTCTTCAGGGCGGACTGTGAGAGGAGCCTAGCTCCTCTCACGTTCGTCACGCTGCCCCGCCTACACACATCCTGACAGCCAATCACTGGCTATCAGGATGTGAGTGGCAGCGAGACTGGCCAATCATTGCATTTGAGCGCGCTGCTGCCTGGCTGTTTTTTTTTGGATCACGCTGCAGAGTCCCTGCCGCCCGAGAGGGAGGGAGGGGAGCGGGCGCCCGGCACACAAGAGCCGCATTAAAGCGTGTAAAGAGCCGCAGGTGGCTCGCGAGCCGCGGCTTGCCGACCACTGTACTAGAACATGAGCGATCCGTATACATTCTAGCAGTTGATCCCGGGGATACTCCCTCAGAGTCTGATAAGCATATTCTCTGTCATCAAAAACCAGCAGCGACAAATACACAACCTCATCAAGATCCATCCTTCCCAGCAACAAGCCAAGATGGCTTCCCTGTGCAGCCACTTCTGGTCAGGATTGGCCTTGGTGTAATGTCAGGGCTCCGGGTGTGACCAGAGGTGTGTGACTGACGCAGGGAAACGCGGGTTTTAGATATGTTATAAATAAGGCGATTTATTAAGACTAACAATACAAAACATAAACGCAGTGCACCAAACCCCAAGCTAACACAAATACATACAACAAGGTGAAACAAACCCAAACCTAAACTGATAAAGATACACATATAGAGCACAACGTAGTCAGGCAGGCCGGGTCAATAACTATGGGGCAGGTAGGTACAGGAGGAGCAGGCGGAGAGAATGGTCAGGGTCACAAGCCAGGGATCAAACAGGAGAAGTCAGCAGAGGTCAGGATCAGGCAGGGTCAGCAACACGTCAGTCAGGCAGGAACAGGAATGCAGGTAACAAGATACAGGGGCCCATGGAAAAACACACACCAAGCAACAGACTGCAGGTCTGGCCATCCCTTAAATACACCTGCAATCAGCTTTCAGGTGTTTGGCTGACTGCAGTGTTGAGTCTCTGATTGCTGAGAGCACCCGCTGGCCAGCCCTGGTACTGCAGCCCACAAGTCCATTCCTGACAGTACGGCACAACTGCAAACGTACCAAGACATGGCCGTCCACCTAAACTGACTGGCCGGGCAAGGAGAATATTCATCAGAGAAGCAGCCAAGAGGCCCATGGGAACTCTGGAGGAGCTGCAGAGATTCACAGCTCAGTGGGGAGAATCTGTCCACAGGACAACTATTAGTCGTGCACTCCACAAATCTGGCCTTTATGGAAGAGTGACAAGAAGAAAGCCATTGTTGGAAGAAACCCATAAGAAGCCCGTTTGCAGTTTGTGAGAAGCCATGTGGGGGACACAGCAAACATGTGGAAGAAGGGGCTCTGGTCAGAGGAGACCAACAATGGAACTTTTTGTGCTAAAAGCAAAACACTATGTGTGGGGGAAACCTAACACTGCACATCACCCTAAACACACCATCCCCACCGTGAAACATGGTGGGGGCAGCATCATGTGGTGGGGATGCTTTTATTTCAGCAGGGACAGGGAAGCTGGTCAGAGTTGATGGGAAAATGGATGGAGCCAAATACAGGGCAATCTTAGAAGAAAACCTGTTGGAGCCTGCAAAAGACTTGAGACCGGGGCGGGGGGGGTTCCACTTCCAGCAGGACAACGACCCAAAAACATCCAGCCAGACCTACAATGGAATGGTTCAGATCAAAGCATCTTCATGTGTTAGAATGACCCAGTCACAGTCCAGACCCAAATCCAATGGAGGATCTGTGGCCAGACCTGAAAATTGCTGTTCCCAGACGCCCTCCATCCAATCTGACAGCTTGAGCGATTCTGCAAAGAAGAATGGGCAGCAATGTCCCTCTCTAGATGTGCAAAGAGACATCCCCAAAAAGACTTGCAGCTGGAATTGCAGCCAAAGGGGGTCCTACAAAGTATTGACTCCGGGGGGCTGAATACAAATGTCGCCACACTTTTCACAAATTTATTTGTAAAAAATGTTGAAAACCATTTCTCATTTTTTCCTTCCATTTCACAATTATGTGCCACTTTGTGTTGGTCTATCACATAAAATCCTAATAAAATAAATTTACGTTTTTGGCTGTAACAAGACAAAATGTGGAAAATTTCAGGGGGTGAATACTTTTTCAAGAACTGTATGTGAATGTATAGTATTGTCTATAAAACTCTATACCAGGGTCTCCAAACTTTCTCAACAAAGGGCCAGGTTACTATCCTTAAGACATTTTGGGGGCCAAAATGTGGCCAGTGGGAGTAAAATATGCCTCAACAGGGAGTAAACAATGCCTCAGGCTTGGTGGCCAATGGGAGAAATTCCCCGTTTCCCGACTTTGCTGTCAGTGGAAGGAATGGTGCCTCCTTGTTGTTGTCAGTAGGAAGAGT